ATGTTTTTCTGAGTAGATGTTTTATGTTAGTTGATAGATAGGAGGTGGGGACCACAGTAGTTATGTGAGTCCAAATTTTATTATGTTTCTGAGTGTTATATATGCTGTTTTATGTTTTGCCGCCCTATAAGGGCATAGTTCTCTTCTCCTTCTCTCTTCCTTCTCTCTTCAAGAAACTACTTTTCTTTCATATTTTTAATTTAACAGATTTCTACTCTTATAATCCATATTCTGATAATGGAGAACTCCTTCCAAATTGAGGTCAAATCTGAATAGTAGACCGAAAGACTCCTCTCGCCCTCCTTACAAGTAGAAGATTCAACTTGCAACTGATAGATCTTTTCATAATGCCACTGCTTAGAATAGGTAGATTTGGTATGCTCCTAGATCTCCTATGTTATGTCAACCCACATGAAGTTTCTTCTCACTTGGGGCAGCGTAGACACTAGAAGCCACGACATATTCAGCACTTCTAGACTTTGGTTCCTTGATCTTTCTATTTATATATCCTATTTCCCCCTTGTAGTGATATAGAGTTTAATCCCCCTCGACTATTCTAGGTAATTAAGACCATCTAGGGGAATAACAACCATAGGAAAATTCATGTCTAATCCCTCACTCTCTCTACTTTGATTGGAGGAGAAACCAGAGACAGTAGTCTTCAGAAGACATGATAGAAATTTCAGGTTCACTTAATCAACCACAAAACACTGTAGGTAGACAGGAGCCACTAAGATACCGGGTGTAGTACAAACCAACATTGATAAAAAGGTTATTTCTCTAGTCTACACAAAGTACTACTGTTGGAAGCACAGGTATAACATTGATTTGAAGCAAAACAATTGACACCCAAGTAGTCTTCAGAAGACATGATAGAAATTTTACTACGTCAAGCTACATTGGCATCTCCTTGGAAAGCAATCCAGAGTATCCTCCCTCAGTTTCTCAACTTTGTCAGGTATGATGTCAATTCTGGTATCTCTGTTTTATTTTGGGAAGACACTTGGGTGGGTACCTTTGCCCTTAAGGACCAATTCCCGTCTCTATTCTCTTTCCCTTTACAAGGAAAAAGCTCTCTCTCATTTTCTTCTATCTCCTAATTCACCCCCTTCCCTAAGTTGGGACTTTGGCTTTCAGAGAGGTTTCAGGGATGATGAATTTAACAGTGTTTCAGATCTGTTGTCCCTTCTTGGTAGTGTCTTTCTGGACCCTCTTAGTCTGGATGTGAGATTATGGTCCCCTCACCCAAAAGGCTACTTCACTTGTGCTTCCTTTTTAAATCCTTTTGCTCTTCCCAGGGACAGTGGGATTTTCCAACCAAGGAGATATGGTCTAGACCGATTCCACCTAAAGTTATTATTTTCTGCTGGGATGTGTTTTATAGAAAGATTAATACCTTGGGCTGCTTGCAGAAGAAAAAGGCCTTCCTTGTGTTTGTCCCCTAACTGGTGTGTACTTTGCAGGGCTAGTGGTGAGGATTGCTCTCACTTACTTGTATCTTGTTCCTTTTTAGTGCTATTTGGAGTTGGATTTTTTCTTTGTTTGGGTGCAGGTGGAATCTGTCCATAGACTTAAGTCAGTTGTTCAATCCTTCCTTTTTTGTGTGGCCTACAAAAAAAGGAAAAATGATGTGGAGATGTATTAGGGCAGCCGCCTTGTGGATAATCTGGGAAGAAAGGAACGCAAGGGTATTCAAGGAAAAGGAAAGAAGCATTCAGGCTGTTGAGGACTGTATCTTGACTAGGGCCATTCATTGGTTAAGAACTATGGACTTATTTCATACATTCTCCTTTGATGATATTTGGGGAAACTGGATAGCAGTGGCTAACAGCCAGACAAGGAAGGACAGGGAATCTGCAGTGTGAACGCCTCCGCCTGAAGGATGGGCAAAGCTGAACATTGATGGAAGCAGCCAAGGAAACCCAGGCCCATCGGGGATAGGAGGGGTGCTGAGAGATAAGGAGAGCAACATCTTAGCGTTGTTTTCAGGCCCCGTGGGAATAGGAGACTCCAATAGAGCTGAGATGTTAGCGGCGGTACAAGGTATTCAGATTGCAGAACAATTAGGAGTTCAGCACTTGGTAGTTGAAGGGGACTCTAAGATTGTTGTGGGATGGCTGACAGACCCAGCTTCAGCTATGTGGCGACACAGAGACCTGTTAAGGAAAGTCAACTGGCTCACAAGAAACATGACTGTTACCTCTCTTTGGGTGGGAAGATCAGCAAATACCTTAGTGGATGGGTTAGCTAAGCAAGGGGCTTCACATTTTTTTTGGGATGCTCTGCAATTTTATTTCTGGCTATTTCGGTTTTTTAATTTGATGTAATACTTGCTAGAAATGGTAACAAATCGTGCCTCCTCTTGGGTCTCCTGTATTGCCTCATATTTCTGGTTTAATAAATTATCTTCATTCATCAAAAAAAAAATTTTTACTGCTGTTACAGCACATACTGGTCATCCAGACCTACAAACATCACATAAAGGACCACACAATTCACTAGGAATTAGAAATCCTCTAAACTCTTCACACCATCCATCCGATTCAGTTACATGCATTTTTCTTGGTACACGACCAAGAGTTAAGAGGAGAACTCAGAAAACTTTCTCAGACCAGTCCATTGGGGTTTATCTGATATTTAATCCAAAAAAAGCAAGAAGGAAGAAAACTTTGATCGATCTTGTTCTCAGGTCCAATAATCCTGCTCTGATACCATATTAACCTAGAAAAAAATAAGAGAAAAACAGAAGAGAAGAGAAAAGAGAGATTGAGAGGAAAATAAGTCATGCTGGCAGTGCCAGCTTTTCTATTTATATATATTAGAGCATCCCATTTTCTAATTAAAAAGTACAGTAAAAACAATAATGTCCTTGTGGCACTATATTTACGAAAGATGACAGCTATATATATATATATATAAAATATGAGTCTATAAAATGAAATAATTTGTCTGTATGCATACATATGTACATACATTGTATTTATATACATAAAAATTAGAAAATTATATTTATACTTTGAGGCTTATGCCTCAAACCACCTTGAGGCTTACATCTTACCTCTTTGGCACCCAACTGCCTCACCTCCACCTTTAGCCTTTTAAAAACCTTGCCTGATCCTATATAGTTGGAAACAAGGCTTTGTTCAGTTGATTTGAGTCACCAGGCTCAAAAATCTGAGAAGTAATAAACATGGAGGTTTGGGATAAGGAGATGTAATTTTCTTTCAAGACACTAATATTTTCACAAATGACAAACCTGTTCAAGGTAAGACTTCAAAAATCTAAGACCAGGATATATCAATGCTTAGAAAACCGGCATTCTCCACCCCATGATTATCTAGCTCTCACATTTTGTAATAACTCCAATGAGACTCTTGACTTCTATCCAAAGGGGAAAAGAAGAAATTAAGTAGAGTTTAAAGAGGAGCCATTAAGGGTTCTCAACTTGGGTTTGTGAACTAATACTTGAGATCGGGTTCATCTAGGCTATTCAGGTTCTGTTAGTCTTATTTTACATGGTATTTTTGATATTTGGACCATTGAAGCCCAAATTTAGAACCTATATCCTGAGACCCATAGCTAATTCATTAAAAGAAAAGAAAATAACAAAAAATTATGACATTTAGGCAATAAATTAATTTTATGTCATATATCTTAAAGGCCATTACCCAACGTTAGTCCCAGCTATCTGGGGTCTTGGGAGGGGTAGACTGGATATGGTCCTAATATTTGGCATTTTTTTCACAAAGTGGCCACTATTTGAACTCACATTCTCACACTTATCAGCCCATGATTTGATTTTACCATTAAACCAAGTAATTGCTCCTTGACATCATATGTCTTATAATATCTAAATGAACCAAGACTGGGACAGGCCCACCCAAATGCTGCTTGGGCTCATTTAGCCAAATGAGATCAAATTCAGGCTTAGGCTCTACTCATATGGCCTGAGCTAGCTCGGCTCTTTTACATCCCTAGGAGCTATTTGTGGCTTGTGCTTCTAGGATAGTTGTATCAATGAAAGAGGTCTAGCCATGGATCTGGACTTTGGGTTATGAACTGGACAAATGAGCTAAATGGATTACATGTTGACGATTTCATGGGCTTGGTGCCTTAAGGGTCCACTTTATGATCTTTAGTGCAGTGGTGGGACTTCTTAAGCTTGTCACTTTTTTACTTGTTTCATAGACTTATTTTATTATGCCCAAAACCTGTCCATCATAGAAGGTCTTCTTGACTCTACCTGAATTGACTCATCTATCGTGGCCACTATGTTAGTTCTTTTTTTTGAGAACCTTGAACTGTTGCATTGATATTGTAATGCTGTGTATGGAGTTTTGCAATAGAGGTGGAGGGTGACTCCAAGACTAAATTATCTGTTGGATACATTTGGGTTGGAGTGTGTGGTTTAGAAGGTCACCAGTTCTTACAGCATCATCTTAGAGAGTATGTTCTTTGACCTCTAGTTAACATCTTGCTCAAATGGATTGCAAGGTTAACATCTCCGAGGTAATCTGTTACCACTATATTGAAAGGGTTGGGATGATGATTTCTTATATATACCTTTTGCTTCCTTGGTAAGGTTGTATGTTTTGTCCCTACATCCTCTAGATGGGAGGATAACTATCTACTTTTCTCCTGTATTTGCAAAAGTTTTAGTAGTCTTCTGATAATAGCATGTAATTGATATGCAGTTTAAACTTTTTGTGTTTTGTTTGTCAGGGCCATTGGAATATCCTGGCAAAACCTCAACAAATGGCTCTGTTTTGCCCCCTGGCAGGCGTTTGGTTGTTCCATTGCACATCTGTGTTCAGCAGGGATTGTCATTTATAAAGGCTCGTTTACTTTCTATGGAAATTCCTGCTCATATTAGTGAAAATTTTCCACAACCAGTTTATCTTCGGAATAATTCTGCAGAGGAAGGTATCATTTCTGAAAGTAAGACAGAGAGATTGGTAAAGATTGATCCATACAGAGGAAGCTGGGGTCTTCACCTTCTTGAACTTGAGCTATCTAATCCAACTGATGTTGTATTTGAGATAAGTGTTTCTGTCCAGCTAGAAAGTGCAAAGGATGAGGACATTTCAACCTTTATCGATCATGATGCTGCTGACTTTGGTTACCCTAAAACCAGAATTGATAGGGATTACTCTGCGAGGGTACTGATTCCACTGGAGCATTTTAAGCTACCTATTCTTGATGGATCTGTTTTTGCAAAGGATTCTCATGCAGATGGGTCTTTCAGTAACAGAAGTTCAAGTTTCACAGAGAAGAATACCAAGGCTGAATTGAATACTTCTATCAAGAACTTGGTTTCTAGAATAAAGGTGAGATGGCAATCTGGGCGGAACAGCTCTGGAGAATTGAGTATTAAGGACGCAATTCAAGCAGCTCTGCAAACATCAGTGATGGATATCCTACTGCCAGATCCATTAACCTTTGGCTTTAGGCTTTCCGAAAATGGCAGTCAACAAGTGGCAATGCTTGATTCATCAAAAGAATCTGATATTCCAGTTAGCTCTTCAGTGTCTAAAGGTTCTGTCCTAGCACATGAGATGATTCCTATGGAAGTTCTTGTTCGCAATAACACAAAAGAAATTATCAGGATGAGTCTTAGTATTACTTGTAGAGATGTGGCAGGGGAAAATTGCATCGAGGGTAGCAAATCTACTGTTTTATGGGCTGGTACAATTCTATACTCATTTATCTTTTTTTGGTCTTTCTAGAGAAATTACTGTCTTTCGTTTTTCTTATTTATGTTTTCATCCATTTCACTAGGTTGGAAAATATTTATATTTCTTACATTACCTCTTTACTTCAGTTTCCTTCATTATCTCTTGTTATGAATTATTCTTCATAAAATGAATAATGTTTAATGAATTTTTATATGTTAGAGACAGTGATTTAAAAGGCGTGTTTGAGGCGTGCCTAGGCGCACAAGCGAGGCGCATTTTGGGGCTTGCCTCGAGGGGCGTGGTACAAAGGCGACTCATAGAATCAAGAATGCAATGTGTTTTACATCACATTAGCTACTTGAAGCAATGCAATTAAGGAAAAAAAGAGATTTTACATGCTTCAAAATGCTTTATTTTGCTTTTATTTTTAAATTTTCATTTGAATACGCTTTACATGTTATTTTTATGTATTTTAATTTTAGATAATTGGTTTTTTAAAATATTTATTTTAAAATTTATGTTTATATTTTTTATTAACATTATGTTTAATAATTTTTGAATTTTTTGCATTTTTGAATTTTTTTTTGGAATTTTCTGACCTTTTTTTATTTTTTATCTTTTTTTTTTGTAGTTTTGCGCCTTTCTTAAAAAGGTGCGTGCCTCGCCTTGCGCCTTGCGCCTCAGGCGCAAATTAGCCCTTGCGCTTTTAAAACACTGGTTAGAGACAAAGCAGAACAAAATGAGGATGGCCAATATAGTTGTTCTTTTGTTCAATAAAGAGAACGGAATGGAGAAACCAGATTCATGTAGTCGACCCCATATAGTTAGGCTAAGTCTTGGGTGATGATGATGACCAATGATGAGGTGGTTCTTTTGTTCAATAACATGGTTGGGAATGGTTTTCTAGATATGCTTCTAGTCTCCTGGTATGGTTTTGGTTTCCCAACCACTACCAAGTTGTTCTATCCTGGATTTAAAGCAATATCTGCATTCATGCCTTTGATGGTAAACCTTTAAATCACCCACCATTGAACTTGTCAATAACTAGCTTTAATGATTGTGCATTTGGTCTATTTAGAAGAGTAACTTCCAAAAGTGACCATGGATTCATTTGGTGACATGTGAGCATGGAACTAAAATCACCTTGACCTTTGCTCCTTTGTGTCTTTCTTCCCTGAAGTCCTCCCATGAAAAATCCTTTCTTATCTTCATTTGTTTTACTTTGAAATTTAAATTATAATGGTACACTTTTAATATCCATCTCATGATGTAAAACATGCTACCATGCATTGGGTCTGTTCATGGTTCAATGTATCAATACTCTTAAAAACTCTTTTTTCCTTTTTATTGTTTTGTCTGAAATTTTGTCAGACCTTTTGTCACATCATATAATATTGTATACAACAAACCAAATTTAAAAACTATTAGTATTTAGTGTTTTGGCTCCTCCAAGATACGATACATACATCCTATATGGGACGTATCATATTGATACTTTGAATGTTGGGTCTTTTCCATCTGGCTTGTTAGAGAAGTTGACGTAGAAGGTTTAAAATTATTAATTAACAATTTTATATTCAGTTTAAAAAAACTAAAATTATAATTTTCTTCAATAATAACAATTAATAATTCTTTTTATTATTTTATGTAAATAATATATTTAAGTAATTACTAATATGTATTTAATATTTTTAGTTTATGAATTACTTATTGTTATTAATGATTTATTTTTAACAATTATTGTTAGTCAAATGTACTTATTTTTATTCTTAAATAATAAAAATACCTCTTTATATGTTAGAAAAAGTACCAAATTACCCTTTTACATATAATCATCTTGCAAAAAAGAGAGACTTTTATTAACACTTGGAAAAAGATATAATCAGAGAGAGAGGAATGGGGCAATGTAGCAAATAGACAACCTTTCTTGTATATTATTATTACATATCCAGCCATGGTGGATTGGAGGGGAGGCGTGAGATGGCATATTTTGTGACATATTCCAAAATATAAAAAAGAAGAACCCCACAATTATTTGAGTCTTCTCCTCTCCCACTACTACATTAAAAAAAAAAAGAAGAGGAAAAAGATGTTCAGCCTCCCCCACCACTTCTTCATAGCCAAACAACAAAAATCTGTATACAGGATTCACATTTATTTATTTTCTCTCTTAAACTAATCCCCCAAAATAATCTTCTTCTTTGGTAATTTCTTATTCTCCAATGGAACTATAATGAACCTTCAAACTTCTCTCTCTTCCTCTTTCTTCCTTCAAGTTCTACCTTATTCCTTTTGTAATCATCTTCCCAAGTCCCAATAAAACCGCAACATCAGTAGTTTAGTATGACTGTGAAAATTAAATGGACTTGTCAATACATCCAATCTTTGGGATGCGTATCTCATGGTTTATAGCTATATGAGCAGGAGAAGCTCCTCTTCTGTTGAGACAACAAAGTTTGATCTGTCATCGGATCTGCAATAACAACAACCCACACAAGAAACAATATATTAAGTTTATATATTAAACAACTACAAAAGGTTACGAACACTCAAATAATTGCATCCCTACCATATTCAGGGCTAGAAAAACTCCATTGAAGCGTGGATGAGCATCCATATCATCAAGGTTCAAATTCAAGGCCTACGCCACTCTTCAGGAAGTAGAATTGTCAAACATGCTTATGTACAGAAAATATAGCACTATAAGAACACAGATCATTGAAATAAAAAACAAATATGTGAGAAACAGAAACACCTAGATGAAAGGGGAACTTCAATCCAGGCTCTGAACAAATAAAAAAATTGTATGGGGAAAAAAAAGGATCACTACAAACCAATTACATCACTCAGTCAAATACTTCAAAGTTAAACTAAGTAACTAAGTACGCATCAATGAACAAATTCCCCCATAAAAAACTGCATCTTGCTTTAGCAAACCCAACAATTAACCCTGTCTTTATTTTGCAATTGTTGTTGATGTACAGTAAGTGGCTGGTGAGTGGTCCCAAGTCCCAACTATCTTCCCTAGATGGCAGAGTACTGTTGCTTCAATGGTTACTCATGGTTGTTGTTCCAGCTATTGAAACTATGCTCATATAGAGATAAAGGACCACGACACTAAAAGTAGGGGTCTTCACAAGAATAGGTACTGGAGAAGTCTTCCATCTCCTCATGAGGATGTCGATGGGGATGAAGAAAATGAAAGTCATTTGAGGTGGGGGGAAGCATCATGAGAGACAGAAGGAGTGGTGCCATGCATTGAAAAACTAAATGTTAGGGTAAAGTTTGTGTAGGGTGTCAACGAATTTTAAATGAATTCATTATTTGGAAAACCAAACCAAAGGAGTTCACTTGTGATGGTCGTTGAAGGATATGTTGAGAGAGAGAATGGCATGCACAGCTCCGGTTCCGAGAAACTTTTCACATCTTTCAACAAAAAGTTATGCTTCTTTAAGACGTTCGGTTTCCCAAACCACCAAACGTTAAAGGTATTAGTATGCATGGTATTAACAGGAGTTGGTGCTTTCCTTGGAGTCTAAGAGGTGTTTAAAAGTGTTCAAAGAATACGTGGAATTATGTAGATTTTATAAAATAAAAAATCAAAAAAGGAGAAAAAAGAATGATGCCACATCACACCATTCCATTTTAATATATAGATATAGATTCACCAACAAGAACCTATGTGCATATTTTTTAAAATTTGTCAATTTTCAAAAATATGAGATTTTGTTTCAGTTTTGATTGCCACTGAAGTGAAATATAGGTTGAATTTGATATGTATATAGTTTTAAACTAGCAGGGAAGCCCCTGCTTCGTAGGGGAAAAATAGAAAAATGCCATTTGGAGACAACAATAAATTAGGTTATATTTTTTTAAATAAAATAACTATAAATATATTATTACGAATAATAAATAACTATAGTGGGCCCCAATCTGGTTTAGGGTTGTCAACATGTCAGGACTAGGTAGAACCAGTCTCGAACCAATTATTTAATTGGGATCAAATCATAGACCTGATTATATTGAAAAGAATAGTTAAAATAATACTAATTTATTTTTATGTTAATAAGTTAAACATTTTTAACTAATAAGTCTAATATTGTCTTATTTATTATTTATCAAATTTACTATTTTAAACATGAAACATGATAAAAATTACAAGAAAGATAAAAAATTATATATTTCATAAAATATTTGGTTCCGGACCTGAATCAATTCTAGATAGGTAGGAACTAGAATCAATCCAATAATTAATCAAGATAAAATCATGGAACCATAACCGTTATAAAACTTATAATTATGTTCTATCAGTTTAGCTCCATCAGGATAGACACAACCCATTGGTTCAGCCCTAGTTTTCTTAAATAAACTAATGTTTATATAATAATTTATTAAATTGAATAAAATAAATAAATAAATAAAATTTTATTGGGATGGGACTAGTATAGGCTATCTCAAACTAGACCCGACCCATTGATAGCCCTAAATATTGGTCTCAAGGGGAGAGAATAATTTGTTAGTAAATTATTTATAAATAAATAAATAATTTAGTAAAATAAATAAATAAATAGATGTTTATTAAAATCCCTCTCTCAATATCACATCTTTATTTTATTGATTTATTTTATTAAAACAAATAAATGTTTAGATGATAATATTAAAATAAATAAATGAATAAATAAAATTTGAGATAGAGAATAGGAGAGAGGGAATCGAGAAAGAAGAGGGATGACATTTTATTTATAGGATGGCATAATCGTAAATAATTGTATGTGGCACTCTTGTAATTTTCGAATGCCATAGAGTCAATTACATAAGGAGGTCTGTCCTATATGTGGCACTCTTGTAATTTTTGAATATCATAGAGGTAGTTACATGGCAAGGTAAAGAAGGTGTATTTGTCTTATATGTAGTATTTCTGTAATTTTCAAATATTATAGAGTCAATTATATTGGGAGGGAGGTTTTTCTTATATGTGGCATTCTTGTAATTTTCGAATGCCAGACTAAAGAGAGGTGGGAGAGAAGAGAGAGAGAGAGTAAATTAGAGAAGGGAGGGAGAAACCCGTGTCAATAATTTAGAGCATGCTTGTTAAGCCAAAAGCAAATCACGTGTCAACCTTCAAATGCTGCCGTACACCTTCCCAATGCTTTAAGTATATACTTATAAATGAAATAGGAGATATCCAAATATATTTAAATTAGGAGAGGAAGGAATAGTTATGCATGAGAGAAATAATAGGAATAAAAAAGTGACAACGGGAGAAAGGAAGAGATGTTTAAATTGTTGAATATGGATTTATATTCCCTGGAAATCAGCATCAGAAGTATATCATATCAAGATTTCAAATGGTTCTTCAGATTTCTTCTAACTAGGTTTTCATTCTGGTCATATTGAACGAGTTGAACCATTACTCTTGGTTTTATTAATGTTTTGTTTTATGACATAGATGGAATTATTATTTACTTTTGGTTTTACTTATTAGAAATTTGCATATTTTGTCAAGGTGTGTTGAGTGAGATCCAGGTGGAGGTGTCTCCACTTCAAGAAATTAAGCATTCCTTTTCTCTGTATTTCCTGTTGCCCGGTGAGTACACACTTGCAGCTGCTGCTGTTATCAATGATGCCAATGATGTCCTTAGGGCTCGTGCAAGAACTGATTCACCTGATGAGCCCATCTTCTGTTGTGGGCCCCCTTTCCATATCCGTGTAATTGGGAGTGCATGATCAGTTTTGCAATCTCATCATTGTTCAAGCTGATATTGTATCAGAGAGTGGTTAAGCCAAAGAGGTAGCTACCACTGGACCCGGAAACCCAGGATCAAAGAAGTGATGCCATCATGCCATAAGTATGAACGCACCACCCTTCCAATGAATTTGGCTTTGCTATATATTCTTTGAGCATATACAATTTGAGGTTTTCCAGATTTGTGTATTATCGGTGGTAAGAAATTCTCTGCTACTGAATTGAATGTGTTTCCTGTTTGGTAATTGCAAAATTTATCAAAAAGAAATATTGTAGCTGGTGTTAGTACTATGGTAGTTCACAACTTAACATGTTGTAATATTAATTATTTTACAATATTTTTATAGTTGTTATGTTATTAATCTTTGTTAACTTTATATTATATCCATAACTTGAGGTGATACAAGTGACTGAAACCCAGAATGCTTTCTTGTAAAGAAGTATGTCTGCAATTTTTCATGTTTTGTTTCAGTAGCTATATCTTCTTGTCCCCAATCCTTAAGTATACATCTATCAAACCCTAGACAGTTCTTTGCATTAACCATCTCTCTCTGCTTCTCAGCATGTGTTTGCAAACTGGTCATCTACTTTGTTTTCTTATGGCTTGCTTTGACTGGAATGTGTGTCCTCTTAGATAGCTTCTATTTATCTTAAATGATTGGGCAAATTTTCCATGGAGGTGATAGCTTCCTTTTAAGGTAGGGTATTGTGATAAGGTTCCCTCCAAACATTTTCAAAGATTCTTTCTTTTACTGAGTTTATTACCTCCCATGCTGCTATGGCCTCAGCAACATATATCCTCATCTTTTCTTTTTCCTTCTTTTTTTCTTTTTGGTAAAATAGTGAGCATCCATGTGTCTCCTATGTGTTTGTTTCCCTCTCTACAAATTTTACCTTGCAGTCTTTCATTATCACCCTGCTGCTTCTCCATTGTTTCACACTAGGGCAGTAAGACATCAAAATTAGTTCTAATTTCTGAATAGGGGGGAGTATTCTGTCTGACTTCCATTTTCTGTTTGTATTTGTCATCTACTTGTGGGATACATTTCTTTGGTGATTGTTTGATACTTTGATATTCTTCATGCATCCTTGTTGCCTCTTCTATAGTATTTGTTGTTTTTTAGGGTAGAAAAGAGTTGACATTAAACCAAACACAAACCAGAACACTACAAATCAATTATCTGAATTCAAACCAAAGAACAACAACTACAGAAACACCTTACAGAAACAGAACAGGCAGTAACGAGTGGGGGGTGTTTCCATCAATTATCCATAACCTTGTGAGGCTAGAGTATATCCTGCACAGTTTTCCTCCCTGTTGATAGAATGAAAGTGGCATCGGCAACTTCTTAGTATATGAACGAGTGTCCCTTACAATGAACTTAATCTCCTTTGAACAGATGGATAAACCATTTTTCAGAGCTGTCATCAATTACCTGCATCATTATGGAAGACAAGAGGACCTTCAAAAAGTTGCACAGTTAACATAGCTCCTGTCCGCACTGCAGTTGCACATCACTATAATGTTGTGGTCATAGGCATTATCTTTTGAAAAACCATTTGATTTCTAGTTTTCCATATTGTCCATAGAAGAAAGATAGCTTTTTTCTCTTTATTCCTTATGTCTTCCAACGGTGCATTTTCTCCCACCAGTCATTAATTGGCGTATCCTCTTTTCTTGGTCCTGTGCAATTTCAGTTAGCAACCTTATCTATTAGGCTATTGTTAAGTAGATGAATGTATTCTCTGTTAATTTGTTCTTGGTCACATATTTGACAAATTGGATTGACGTAATGACATTAATTCCTTTTGATCTTATATATGATCTTGTGAGCAGACTACTTTTAAATAAAACCCATGAGAACATTTTTATTTTGGGTAAGCATTTTCATTTCCACTCGCTGAAAGATATTCATAATTCCGACGATTCATTCCTAGTACTCACATTGAGCCATGTGGCTCACTTCACTGTGAAATCACCACTACGAACTACCTCCCCACCACATCTTGTCTTTGTTGTGAGGACATGAATTGCCTTGATTTTATTTACTACATTCTTCGCTAGATTCATAGAATGTAATTATGTTCCATTCTCCGTATCATTCACCTTAGAAGTTTAAATCCATATTCTCAGTTGGGGGTATTTTTGTGTGTAATGGTTGCTTTAAGACTCAATTATCCAATCAAAACCGAGTCTTTTCTCATGTGTGCATGGTCCATCTCATTCATTTACTAATTAGCTTTATTTTTGAGAATGTTTCTTCAAGTCCATGTGATTCCATTTTTTGAGTTTTGTAGAAAATAAGTTGGTATTTCAGTAGTTATATCTTGAAGAGATGAAATCTCAACAAAATGAAAACCATGGTTTTAGGGATATTTATTCTGGGTGTTAAAAATATATACATAATACACGTTCCATGCGTCTATGTAATATTGCTATGGCGGTCAAAACAACCAAATTTTAAATGGTTGGAATTGTATGGATCACTTTAATTTGGCTCATTCCTCTGTATGAGCGTTTCCTCATTTTGATCAATGACTTTAATCCCACGTCAATGGGACTCTGGATCTGCTAAACACAATATGTGTGCAATGTGCTATAAATAGGGGTGTAAGTTGGGCCAGGTTAGCTTGAGTTGAGGTCAACCTAACCCAAATGAATCTTTTTGGGTCGGGTTGACCTGACTTCTGACTTCTCTACTTTTGCAATGTTGTTATTTCCTTGAATAAATAAATGTTTATATAATATTTATACATACAAATATAAAGTTGTCTGGTTCAAGTTGGGTAGGGTTGGCAAAAGCCTCATCCACAGTCCAACCCAACCTGGCTATTTTCGGCTGGGTTCGGGTTAATGTGGTCAAAATTGAAGCCCTAAGCACAAGTTCAGATCTACCAAACTTGTGTTTGTGTGCACTTGCATTCAGTATATAACAACTATACCGTTACACACGAGATAGAGCTAGGAGTAAACGTTTATTGTATATCTGGTAACTGTATGGATCAGTGACATGTTTATTCATTGAATTTCTCGGTGTACTGTGAGTTCACTTTTGCTCCCACAATATCGTAGGGCACAGGCGCACAGCTAAAACCGAGAATTATGGTTTTAGATGTATCGTTGTTGCGGTCTGGCCCACCAAAACATCAGTCCAGGTCCATCTAATTCATTAATTCAAAATGGCCAATATCAATACATTAAAGGCTTTGATTTAATAGTTTTAGCGACGTTAGCAAAAGTGGTTTGATCCTATGTGATCCGCGTCAGATTAAATCTACGGTTAAGTTTCCTTTGACGTGGAATGATGTCATTCGTTGATGTGAGGAAACACACTACAGACACATGAGCAAAAGTTTTGACATCTGTACCTGTACTATTAAACTGCACCGTTGTGGCTTTGTTTTAGCATAAATTCAAGGGAAATTGTCAAAAATTCACCATGAGTTTTCACCATTTCTCTTAAACTCACCACAACTTTTCAAAATGTCTAAAATTCACCATGTTAGTAAGTTTTTATTTTTCAAAACTCATCTTCTGTTAGTGCACCGTTAATGTTTCTTAACAGAGGTGTCCATGTCAATATAAATAACAATTTTTATGACTAAATCACCCTTGAATGGTGAGTTTGTGGAAAAGGGTCTTTTTCATTTTTCAATTTTCTTTTTTCTTTTTACAATTTTTAGTGTTTTGTTATCATTTTTACTATTTTTTTATAATTTCTGTTTTTAAAATTTTTCTACTTTTTTACATTTTTCTATTTTCTACCATCTATAAAATTTCCTGTATTTTTTGTTATTTATTTGCAATTTCTGTGTTTTTCTATAATTTTTGATGTTTTTTCTACAACTTTTATTTTCTGATTTTGTTTTTCAATTTCTATAGTTTCTATAATTTGAAAATAATTTTTTATTTTGTGTGCAATTTCTATAATTTTTTATATTTTTTGTAATTTCTGTGTTTTATATATTTTATATTTTTCTATGAAGGTTAAAATAGTAATATATTAACAGCGGTTAGTTTCTTTAACGTCAAGTTAATGACATGGTGAGTTTTAGATATTTTAAAAAGTTGTGGTGAGTTTAAGAGAAATGCTGAAAACTCATGGTGAGTTTTTGACAATTTCCCTAAATTCAATATTTATAGATGCATATATCATGGAGATGAGCATTGTTAAGACTTAAGATGTGAAGTGTAGGGGTTTGAAATTGGAATCCAAATGGGCCATTCCGATTTCAACTGTTTTGTTAGATGGAATTGGAAGGCTATTCATGGTGGAATGACATTTTCTCATTTGACGGAATGGTCATTCCCTCTCGATGGGGAATGAAATCCTATTTTAAGTGATTTCAATCCCACTCTGATTCCTGTATTAACTAAACATAGACCATTCCAATTCCCATTCCAAAGAATTTCGATTCTGGATTCCGACTGCAAATCAAACGGACCTATATCCGCCCTTCCAGGGACTAGGCAGTCCGATGGGCTTCCCAGAAACAATTTCCAGTCCAGGCCTCTCTCTCTTCTAAATCACTGTCCACTACGAATATGAGCCCAAACCCAATTCCCCTCCCAAAGCCCACTTACACTGTCGCTTCGCTTCGTCATCCACCCTCAACTTTTTTCTGCAACCCCAGTCCCCAGTTAGGCAGTCACCACCGCACCGGAATCGGCTTCCCTCAAGGCAAGTCCGTGCCCACTCCGTTCCAACCGCTATTTGCAATCTTGCATTGGAAATATCTCCCATGAAATAAAGCAGATAAGTACGGAGATATTCTCAGCTCTAACTGCTCTAATGGGCTTTGCTCAAAGCCTGACTCGAACTCGTCACCACCATCCTCGCCCTTCCCGCTGACGAAATGAAACCAACTATTTGTCGTTCCGACCGCACTCTTACTCTTGGCGATGAAATTCTCCGCTTCCCAGTTCCCAGGAAGCGCGTGGCCTTTGGGCTGCGTAGTGTTTGCTTCTGTCCCTACGGCAGACTTGATCCTTTAACTGTCTCCAACTTCAGAGCCATGTGATCAGGCTCTTCCGGTTCGTCTTATAAAGGCACATTGGTTCAGAAAATCTTTCCGAGGTGGTTTCTCGTGGCCGGTCGGTAGGGGCGGAAGGACAAGGGCGAGGTGCCCACCATTGGGTCTAGCGACGAAAATGGAGACTATGGATTCAATAAGTCCTTCCTTCTCGACCACTCGAGGTTTTCTGTTCTCTCCCTGTGCTTGTGCTTGTCTGAGAACGACAACAGTGATGAAATCAAGCTTGACCCCAACCATAGGAATGTTGAATTTCAGATTGCAAGGAGACCAGGGTCACCTTCGCAGCTCAATAGTGGAATTTTTTTCTTTGGATCTGTGCTTGAAGGTTAGTATTGTTTGAAGTGCTTTTGCAGCAAAAGTCAAATCTCAGTTTTACTTTTGAAAATCCATCCTTCTTTTTTATTTCTTAGAATGCTGTTTGCAAAGCTTGGTTACTAATTTCTTGTAGTTCAGTATGTCAAACTCATGTAGAACTCAGGTTCAATAAAGAGCTTTATGGATTTGATTACAATTGCTTCAAGTACACATACTTCGTTTGTCCAGTTGGAAGCTTGGACTTTTGATCATGAACATCTGGTGTTCATCATCTTGTGTGTGGCATGCCTTCAGGCAGTTTGTTTCAATTCCATCCTTTATAGCTAATCTAGTAAATCCCCGTTCTGAAGAGGTGACAAATCAGTAATTAAGCTACCATTTGTATTACTTGACTGGATTTGAAGATATACTTTTATCTAGAAAGTGCAGTGAGCAAATAAGAGAACCCAGTCTTGCAAATAATGATACGTTGTAGTTTTAACTTGTTCCCTTGCCTCTTTAAACTGAAGAAACAATTTCTTGACAATCAAATTTAGTTTCCAGCCAGGATTCTTTCCTAATAGAACTAGAGTTGCTTCTATTGTAAATAGGCCAATTTATGATAGGGCTGCTAATGGATCGGATATAGGTGGGTCCAAATTTGATTCATTTATATTTGAATTTGAAAGATCCATATTCAATCCAATTATAAATGGATTGGCTTCGGACCACCCTTAATGGGATTGAATTTGAATTCGAATTTGGACAATTAGATACCATTTGCAGCCCTAATTTATGATATACACTCCTTCAAGGCGAAGGGGACAAGCTTAGTATATATCCCTATTTAAGTGTAAGTAATACTTTTTATTTGAAACTGTAAGTGTAAGTAATACTTTTTTTTATACACATTCACATAGTTGCAGCATCAGGCTCCCTGACACCAATGATTTGTTTTCAGTGGTTGTTGAAATGGTGGTACATGAAACTAGCAAAATTTCTTTGCTGATAGGTCCATCCATAGTTGTCAAGGCGACCTTTGAGGCTTGCCTTGCCTAATCGCCTAACAGTTTTCTACTTCCTACTATAAAAAAACTTTTTTATTCATTCTTTTTTGATATTATAATTATAAAATAGACATTATTAAAATAAAATAATCATTTTGTGTGTTTATATA